CTCTTTGGGTTTTATAAATTTTTTCTTTATTAGTTTTTGCTCTAGAGAGTTATCAATTTTATTTATCTTCGCTAAATGAATTGTCTTTTGGGCTATGTAGATCTTTCTTTTTAGTATATTTGTTTCCTTTTGCATTTAGTCTGCTCCTTATTATTTCTCTTTCTGTTTTGCTTTTTCTTTCTTTTCAATTTAAAACTTCTATTATTCCTGTTATCATTTGTTTCTCAAGCTAGTTTAGATTATTAAATTTCAGACTTTTTAAAAAAATATGTATTTAAGGCTTATTTTTGTGTAAGTACTGCTTTAGCTGCACCCCACAATATTTGATATGTCATGTCCTTATTATCTTGGAGTTCAGAATATTTTCTACTTTCTGTTCTGATACATTCTTTGACCCTTGGATCATTAACAAGCATATTACATTTCTAATCAGCTGGGTATTTTTTTTCTAATTACTTTTTGTTTTTGATTTCTAGCTGATTTCCATTAGTTACAAAACATAGATCAATGATTTTATTCTTTTGAAATATATTAACAACTTGCATTAGGACACAACTTGGTCTAATTTGGTAAATATTTTGGGTGCATATAAAAAGAATGTGTATTTTGTGGTTGTTGGATGCAATACTTTATATATGTCAGTTGTGTCAAGTTTATTGATTATATTGTTCAGAACTTCCATATCCTTCTTGCTTCCCTTGTCTATTTATTCTATCAGCTACTGAGAGAAATGCATTAAAGTCTCCCACTATGATTATGGAATCATCTATTTCCCTTTTAGTTTGTCAATTTTTACCTTATGTATTTTAAAGTTGTTAGTAGATGCATATAAGTTTAGGATTGATTTGTTTTCCTGATGACTTGTTTACCAGTATGAATTATTTCTAGAAATGATTCTTGCTTTAAAGTCTACTTGTCTGATAGAACATTTCCCTGGTTTATCTTTTTCTGTAACTTTACTTTCAAACTCTGTTATATTTAAAATGCATATAAGTTCTTTTTTTAAAAAAAATGAATTCATTGTAACATCTCTTTTAATTAGAATATTTAGTATGTTTGCATTTAATATCATTGACAGTATAATTGGATTTGTATGTGCCATCTCATTATTTTCTATTTGAGCAACTTGTTTTATATTCTTTTTTCTCTAAATAAAATATTTTCCATTATTTAATTTTTTTTATCTATTAACTTGTTTTCTTCTACTGTTCCTACTCTAGTGATAGCAACATTCATCCTTAGATTTTTTTAACTCTTCAATACATGTATTTTAATCCCACAAATTACTACTTTCATTGTTTGTGTAGTCAAGATTCATTTAAATTACCTACTTAAGTTTTCTATTTTTTCATATTGCTTCCTGCATTTTTTTAAAAGATTTTATTTATTTGAAAGAGAGTGAGAGAGAAACAGAGCGTGCACGCGCACAAGAAGGGGGAGGGTCAGAGGGAGAAGCAGACTCCCTGCTGAGCAGGGAGCCTGACCCTGGGCTCTATCCCAGGACTTTGGGATCAGGGCCAAGCCGAAGGCAGATGCTTAACCAACTGAGCCCCCCAGGCGCCCTGCTTCCTGCATTTTTTAATTGCATACCCATTCACAGTTGTTTTCCCCTGCTTTATTGAGGTAAAATTCACAAATAAGCTTCCTTCATTTTGATATTTCTTTTAAAGATAATTTTCCTTCTGCTGAAAGAAATTCTTCATTATTTTTTTCAATGCAGGTCCTGGCAATGCATTCATTCAGCTTTTGTTTTTCTGGGAGCATACTTATTTCATCTTCAATTCAAAAGAGTATGTTTGCAATTATAAAATTTTAGGTTGGGAATTACTTTTAGAAATTTAAAGGTATTATTTTATTGTCTGTGGCTTCTGTCTTTTCTTTTGAAAAGTTAGCACCTTTTTGCAAGTTGAAGAAAGACATTCATTTCTTATTCTGGTTTGCTCAGTGTTTTTATAATGAATTTGTATTGAATTTTATAAAATTTTTCTTTTGTATCTGTGGAGAGAATCATGACTTTCCCCTTTATATCTGGTTTCATCAGTGTTTTTTCTCAGTTTTTCTTCTATTTCATATTTCATTGGTGTCTGCTTTTTATTATTTCCTTTATTTTACTTACTTTTTAAAAAAATTGAGATATACTTCACCTGTCTGTTAATGTGGTGACTTCAATTTGCGTTAAACCAAATTTATATCTCTCAAATAAATTCCACTTGGTCATAGTGTATTATTCTTACTATATATTAATGTTATGAATTGATAACTTTTTAAAAAATTTTTTGTCTGTGTTTTTAAGGGATATTGGTCTATAATCTTACCATATTTTGATGAGTTTTTTTTTTTAAGATTTTATTTATTTTTGTGAGACAGAGAGTGTGTGTGCATGAGTGGGAGGGAGGGGCAGAGGGAAACTCCCAGCTGAGCAGGGAGCCCAACGCGGGACTCCATACCAGGTCCCTGGGAACATGACCTGAGCTGAAGGCAGATGCCCAACCGACTGAGCCACTCAGGCACCCCTCTTTGATGAGTTTTAATAAGAGTTGTGCTGGCTTTGTAAAACAAGATAAGAAGTATTCCCTCTTTATCCATTTTATGAAAGAGTTTGTGCAACTGGTATTTCTTCCTCATGTGTTTGAAAGAATTAACGAGAAGTAATTTGGGCCTGAGTTTTTAATTATTAATTTGATTTCTTAAATAAATATGGGGCTTTTCGGATTGTTTCTTTTCAATCAATTTAGAAAATACTTGTTTTTCCAGAAAATCATCCATTTCATCTAGGCAGTCATATTTATTGGTATATAAAGTTGTTTATAATATGCTGTTATTATTCTTTCAATGCCTGTGACATCTGTAGTGGGGTTCTTTCTCTCATCCCTGATATTGGTAATTTGTATCTCCTTTTTTTTTAATTTATCGAGCTGGCTATAGTATTGTCAATTTTTCTTCCATTTCATATTTCATTGGTTTCTGCTCTTTATTTCCTTTCTTCCACTTATTTTTTAAATTTGAGGTATAATTCACATAACAAAGTTTGTCATAACATGAAGTGCATCCTTTTAAAGTGTACAGTGGATTTCAGTATATTCACAAAATTGTGCAATCCTCACCACTAATTCCAGAATATTTCCATCACTTCAGAAAGAAAGCCTATATTCATTCACAGTCACTTCCCTTCTCCTCTTCTCCATCCCCTGGCAATCATTAATCTGCTTTCTGTCTCTATGGATTTGCCTATTTTGGACATTCCATATGAATGGAATCACACAATAAGTGGCCTTTTCTGTATGGCTTCCTTCACAGAGCATAACATTTTCAAGTTTCATCCATTTTATAGCATGTATTAGTATTTCATTCCTTTTTATGACTGAATAATTTTCTGTTGTTTGCATATACCATATTTTGTTTATCCATTCATCAGGTAATGAACATTTGGCTATTTTACTTTTTGGCTATTATGAGCAATGGTGCTTTGAACATTCATGTAAAAGCTTTTGTGTGGACATAGTTTTCAGTTTATGCCTACAAGTAGAATTGCTGAGTCATAAAACTGTATGTTTAACTTTGGGAGGAACCGCCAAACCGTTTTACAAAGCTGCTGCATTGTTTTACATTTCCATCAGCAAAGTAGTAGGTCCTAGTTTCTTTGCATCCTCACCAACACTTGTTATGATCTATCCTTTGATGATAGTCATCTAGTTGGTATGAAGTGGTATTTCACTGTGGTTTTGATTTGGATTTCCCTGATGATTAATGATATTGAGAATACTTTCATGCTCAATATTTTCATATTGAGCATATTTTCATGAGCATTTTATATCAGGAGCATTCTCTATTGGTTATCTTTTTCTCTTGAGTTTGAACACTTTTTCCTAACACTTTATATTTTGAATAATATTGGATTGTATCCTGGATATTGTGAGTGAATGTTGTAGAAAGTCTGGATTCAGGTGTGTTCCTCCAACAAGTTTGATGTTTTTATTTTATTTATTTATTATTTAAAGATTTTATTTATTTGAGAGAGAGTGAGAAAGAGAGCACACAAGCAGGGAGGGGGCAGAGAGAGAGGGAGAAGCAGACTCCCTGCTGAGCAGGGAGCCCAATGCGGGGCTTGATCCCAGTACCCTGAGATCATGACCTAAGCCACCCAGGCACCCCTGATGTTTTTATTTTAGTAGGCAGTTACCTTATCTGAACTCAAACTTATTATTTCCCTGTAGGGGGCAACATATGAAATCTCCTTTTGGTTCTTTTATCCTTAGCTGGGCTGGTTGGAATCTTCCTCACATATATATGATCTGTGGGTTAGCCAGAGACTTGCGGGGGGCGGGGGGCAGGGGAGTTTACACACAAAATTTGGGACTCCCCTCTCTACCTCTCCTGTTATTTCCCCCCATCAAACACACTTTTGCAGCTGTTTTAATTGTCCTTAACTCTTACCTTAAATCAGTAAGAATATTGATTTCTAACTTTTTAAAAATGTGGCATGGCTGAGGTTGTAAACTCACCTTTTTTTAAGTGTTAACACCCCTTTATTATTTACTTGCTTTTTGTTTACTCTCCAGTTACTTCAGGTAATTTAAAAATATTTTATCCAGAATTTATCATCATTATGTTTGATAGGGCTGATTCAAAAATAGCTCTTTTTCCATTATCAGAAGCAGAATCTCTCTCCTATGTGTTTATTTTTGTTAACTGTTTCTTCAAGTGACATAGAAATTTCCTCCCAATGGCTATTCTACTAATAGTTGCCTTTAAATTTTTAACAAATATTTGTCAATAGTTATTGTTATCATTATCAATAATTTTTAAGTATCTGTGATATGTTTGGCATTCAGGGCAAAATCTTTATCATTGAGGGATATTAACCCTCATTCTTTGAATTCAAGGTCAGTTTAATTATTTCTGTGGGTTTCTGTGTCCATCCCCCCCACCCACCCACCAAATAGATTTTCCTACTTCAAGAATATGGCTTTAGTTTACATGTATGCCTTTTGTAAACATAGCAAACTTTACTTCACACGTAACTTTACATATAATTGTACTTGTTTCAAACTAGAGACAGTTTTGGTATTCCATAAAATTAATTGTAAGAAAGGTATAAATACTATATATGAGTATTTATAAGTATGTTTGAAGTTAATTCATTTTATTAGTATTATTATCCTAATGGCCCAACCAGTGATTATATCAGTTATATCTTTTTGAGGCCACTGGGGATATGGGGGTAAGAAGCATTCCTGTTTTATTTCAGGTTCTAAACTATTAGAAACTATCTCTTTCCTACCTATAATTGTCTTCATTGAACATAAAAAGATACCAGAGTGGGTTTGTAGTTAGATCTTAAATAAATGGAATATAAAAAATACTATCCATGTAATTTTCTAAATAATTTTTGTAAAATACAAAATTCCTCATTCATTTCCACTTGCCTTTAGGGTTCCATTAACTTCAAATGATGATGATGATGATGATAAAGATAAAGATGATGACAATGTTATATCAAAGATATCACCTGATATTCCCTCTTCAGTATCAACAAGACAACCTTTATCAAGTCAGTATAACTTGGAATTGTTATTTCTTAGAGAAAATAATCACGATATGTGTGGTTTAGATGATCCCGGGATATTTTTTCTATTGTTGATATCCTTCCCAAAGGTGAAATTTTTAAAATTAGTTTTGAATATTAGTATTAAAAAGTTACATTCATCAGATTTTTTCTTGAGGCCCATGGTGTATAAACAGTTAATAAGTTAGATCTCTTATGTTATAGACTTGCTAACTTCCACTATTTAAAACTGCTGTTAAAAAATTTAATTTTTAAGTAAACATGCTGACAAATGTCTGGTCCACAGTGGTCTAATGCTGTTATTCTGTGAGCAGTATTTAGAAATGAGTACACCTAAAGAGCTTTTCTTGTTATCTTATTAGCTTACAAATTGAAAAATACCATATATTTATTTAGTTTCATCTTCTTTTCATAGACAAAAAAATTGGGGGCCTAAATAGATTTTATGTCACAAAATCTATAGCCAAAGCAAAAACTTGAGCCTGGATAATGGTTGAGCCAGAGAAAATGATGACACTTATGTTTTATTTACGTGGTTATTTCTAAAATAATAATCCTTCAGGGGAGTCTGGCTGATGTATTTATCATAGATTTGCAGCTTGGATTATGGAGCGAGAAGTACATTTCATTTAGAGCGTAGAATTGTTTTTCCTTTATAAAAATTTATGTGTGTATATATAATTTTATATAAACTTTAGCTGCCTGCTGATAGCCTTTTGATAGTAATCCTTATCAGAGTCATCACTGTTATTTGGGTTCAGTTGCTGGCCTTCTCCCACTTAGAAATATATGTTAATGGCTCTACTGTCAGCTATACTCTACTGTTGGGGCCAAGGCAGAGTGAATTCTTAGTATATATTTTCCATAGATACACATGTAAAATGTCTGAATACATTGATCATTCTACTTTATTTTTATCAGCGTAGATTCTTTCTAAGTGTCTGAACAGAACACATTGTCAGAATCCTTTCTGTGAAACAGCTTGATTTTTAATCTTATTTGTTTAAAATAACAAATTCCTTGTCATTACTTATTTCCGAATTTTCTTTCCCTTTATTTTATAGAAAGTCATTTCCATTCAGACCAAAATTCCATGAGTTCTCCAATGAGTGAGATGAAAAATGCCCAGTCAATCAGCCACGGAAAGGAGAAACCATCTCTCAGTAAAGTAACGGAAAGGAAAAAACATGAATCATCTCAGGAAAAAAATAATCCTTCTGTTGACAGTTCTCATGGGACAGACTTAGATCAACAACACATTTCAAATCCAGAATTAAATTGGAATAATGAAATAAATGATCATACTAATGAAAAGAATATTAAAATGCAAGGAAATATACAGTGCCTTCCTGACTCATCGGAGTCTACAAGTGAACCTACTGCAGAGTACATGAATCCATTTGAGGGTAGTGATGACTTTCAGTTGCAGAAAACTGTGTATGATGCTGACATGGATTTAACTGCTAGTGAAGTAAGCAAAATTGTTACAGTTTCAACAGGGACTAAAAATAAAAACAATAAAAAATCAAATGATTGTGAAATAAAAACTTTCAGAAAAGTGAAAGATTCAAGCTCTGAAAAAAAGAGAGAAAGATCAAAGAGACAATTTAAAAATAGTTCAGATATCAATATTGACGAAAAGGTTGAAAATGGACCAGAAAAAAGATCAGTTGTCTTAAATGGCAAAGGGGATTCAGAAGATCCAGATTTTATTTTCAGTACTGAGCAGATGATTCAGTTGAACATACTGAAGAAAGTAACCCTTCATAATGGCTTTGATCAAGACGACAGACAAAGTACACAGTGTAATAAAAGAAAGAAAAGAATACATGTAACAAATGAGCAAGAGGAAGCATACTCTTTCTCCCAAAGTTCAGATAAATTCCAGCAGGAGAGTAAATTTGATATGGGTCAGAGTTCTTTAGCTTATCATAAAAGTAAAGCTTCTAGACAGACATTTGTGATTCCTAAGTTAGAAAAAGGTAACTTATTCTCAAACCAAAAGAATAAAGAAAGCACTTCTGAAAACCTAGAAGTCACAAGTGAATTTCAAACAGCTGATCTTTCCACCAAAGGTAATGAAAGTTTATGTGATTATGAGGCCCAGAATATGTCAGATTTGAAAAAGCATGTCACTGATACGCAGCCTGCTCAGCAGAATGAATCAAAAATAAATGAGAAGCTTAGACAGAAAGTAAATCGGAAGACAGAAATAATTTCTGAAACAAACAAAGCATATGGGGATACTGCTAAAGATGTGCACGGCCCAGGAAAAGGTAACTTTTCCTTCCAAACCCATGAGGATAAAGAAGCCGTCTCTGGAAACCTTAAAGTTTCAGATGAGTTTCAAAAACCTGCTCTTTCCACCATTGATAATGGAAACCTGTGTGATTGTGAGATCCAAAATGTGTTGGATTTGCAAAAGCAGATCACTGATGTGTACCCTGTTCAGCAAAATGAATCAAAAGTTCATAAGAATCTTAGGCAGAAAGTAAATCGGAAGACAGAAATAATTTCTGAAGCGAATCATTTAGATAATGACAAGAATGTATATTTCCCAGAAAAGGGTAGTTCTTTCTTCCTAACCCAGAAGGATAAAGAAATCATCCCTGAAAATATAAAAGGCCCAAGTGAATTCCAAATACCTGCCCTTTCTACCAAAGATAGTGGAAGCCTATTTGATTATGAAACTCAAAATGTTCTGGGAATAGAAAAGCATATCCATGATATGCAACCTGCTTGTCAAAATGAATCAAAAATAGATAAGAAGCTTAGGCAAAAGGTGTGTCGGAAGACAGAAATAATTTCTAAAATCAACCAAGTATATGAGAATGATGACAAAGGCATACATGACCCAGAAAAAGATAGTTTACATTCTCTAACGCAAAAGGAAAAAGAAATCATCCCCGAAAACCTAGAAGACACAAATGAGTCTCAGGTAGCTGATCCTTCCACCAGAGGTGTTAGGAACTTATGTCATTATGAGACTCAAAACATTTTGGGGGTGAAAAAACATGTTACTGATATGCCACCTACAAAGCAAAATGAATCAAAAATAAATAAGAGGCTCAGGCAGAAAGTAAGTCGGAAGACAGAAATAATTGTGGAAATGAACCAAGTAAATGAGTTTAAAAAAAAAGGTGTGTATGACCCAGAAGAAGGTAACTTCTTTTCCCTAACCCAAACAGGTAAAGAAACCATTTCTGAAAAATTAGAAGTCACAAGTGAATTACAAACAGCTTATCTTTCCACCCACGATAATGGAAATTTGTATGATTATGAGACACAGAATGTGTTGGGTTTGAAAAAGCATGTGACTGAAACGCAACCTGCCCAGCAAAATGAATCAAAAATAAATAAGAAACTTAGGCAGAAAGTAAATCGGAAGACAGAAATAATTTCTGAAAAGTACCAAATATATGGGGATAATGATAAAGATGTGCATGATCAAGAAAGCTGTACAAAAGATCTTGCTTTTCAAGTAAATATATCTAAACAAAGACTTGAATGCCAAGGTATCATCAGTGGATACTCTATGGAAATTGATAGTAATGAAAAGGAAAATTGTGATCAAATTTCAAATCCTTACAAACTAGTTAAAAAGCATGGGAAAGAATCATCAGGCAAGGCAAAGATTTTTGCAAAAGGTAAAAACAAATCTATTTCGCAGTTATCAGATTCTTTACAGACGTCTGTCTCCCTAGAATCAGGTTTAAAATATATTACTAATGAAGCAGATTCTGATCCTGGTAAGCATAGGGACCTACAGGAGAATCTGAAGGAAAGCTCCACAACTCTGAATGAAAAAAGAGCTATCCCTTTTGTGGAAGTGGTAAAAGAAAGAGAGTGCCAGGGCAGAAAAGTAAACAAAACAGCATCTAAATCAAAGAAAAGAAAGACCGTCTATCCTTCTTCAGATAGCCATAAGGTAATGCAGATAATATCTGACACTGACCAGGGAATATCAGTTGAATCTGGACAAGCTGGTGAGGAAAAAAATTCAGAAAATGAGAGAGTTGTCAAAATGAAGCCAGACTTTTACAAAGAGGTGTTTCAATCTTTATCTCAGGTCTATTCACCTAACATACAAGATTCTTCCTTTAAGAGTATGCATGAGGAGTCAGTACCTCTGAGTATTTCTCCTAGTAAAAATCTGATGATAAAAGAAAATTTTGCCATGGAGAGCTCACCAATCTTTCAAGTAAGTGATGATGAACATGAGAAGATGAAAGGGATGAAATTCAACCAGAGAACACAAAAATCAGGAATAGGTAGGTCAATAGCTGAAGTGACCAAGTTTTAAAAGTATTGTCTTTTTTCACTTAACCAGTATTTTCTATTGTAACTGCTATTTTTATGGAGTTAGGAACAGTATTTAATTGTGTAGCCTGAACTGTAGAACAATATAAAGGAATTTAAAGGAAGTTTAATATTTTAGGAAGATAACAGAGTAGTGTCTTGGATATTTATAACCTAAAAAACAGATTTGGCCTTTACCCAAAGTTGTCTGATTTGGTGTTTTAGAGGATTAAAAAATAAGTAATACCAAATCCTGGGACACCTGGGTGGCTCAGTCAGTTAAGCATCTGCCTTCAGCTCAGGTTATGATCCCAGGGTCCTGGGATCGAGTCCCATATCAGGCTCTTGCTCAGTGGGGATCCTGCTTCTCCCTCTGCCTACCGCTCCCCATGCTTGTGCTCTCTCTCTCTCTGACAAATCTTTAAAAAAAAAAAAAAGTAATACCAAATCCTTTCCTCAGAATACATGTATCTAAAAATAACAAATAAGAAATACAGTGGTAAATGTGGTGAATGCTCTAATAAAAGCACACATGTGCTAACAGATATATGGGGAGGGGTTTGGACAAGAGGAACCTGCAAAGACATCATGAAATAGGTAGCATTTTAGGCCGTAAAGGATAGGTAGGATTTTTATCTTTAGTGTTTACTTTTTATTTTCCCCCAGTTATTAAAAGAATACTCATTGCAGAAAATTGAAAGTAGAAAATCAGAAAATAGGAGGAAAAACAATCACCCAAAGAACTGCAGTCAACATTTTGGCATGTGCATACAGAGTTGAATCTATGGAATTTAAAAATATGTATCTGAAGGCATGCTATATATAACATTAGTTATCCCATTTTTTCCCCTTAAACATTGGATCCTAAGGATGTTCCTTCATTATTAGAAATTTTGTGACATTGGACATTCCCATATCAATCAAAATTTTCTACTGGGAGACTAACATTTGAATATATATGTATGCAGAATACTAGAATTTTTTTCCCCATTTTATTAAGAAATAATTTATATTACTGTATAACTTCAAGGCATACAGCTTGATGGTTGGATTTACATGTATTATGAAATGGTTATCACAGTAGGTTCAGCTAACATCCATCATGTCAGATGGATAAAGTAAACAGAAAAGAAAAAAGAAAAAAAGTTTTCTCCTTGTGATAAGAACTCTTGGGGTTTACTCTCTTAACTTTTTTTTTTTTTTAGAGAGGGAGGGGTGGGGTTGAAGAGCAGGGGAAGAGGGAGAGACTTTCTCTGTGAAATAAATAAATAAAATCTTAAAAAAAGAGAGAGAGAGAGACAATCCTAAGCAGGCTCCACGCGTGGAGCCCAATTTGGGGCTTGATTTCACAATTCTG